GTACAGTTTTAATTGCAGGTTGTGGTCCAGGTTTAATTCCAGGATGTTGTCCAGGTTTAATTCCAGGTTGAAATTCGGACTGGAATCCGGGCTGGAATCCAGGTTGAAGTGGTGGTTGAAATCCAGGATGTTGTCCAGGTTTAATCCCAGGATGTGGTACAGTTTTAATTGCAGGTTGTGGTCCAGGTTTAATTCCAGGATGAAATCCGGGTTGAACTTCAGGCTGATTTCTAAGTTGATTTCCAAATTCATTTTCATATTTATTTCCATAATTATTTCCATGTTTACTTTCATGCTTATTTTCATATTTATTTCCACGTTTACTTTCATGCTTATTTTCATATTTATTTCCATGTTTACTTTCATGCTTATGTTCATATTTATGTTCATACTCATTTGCATACTTATTATAATATTTATTTACATATTCGTCTTGATAATCATTATCATTTTCGTCACCGTACTCAGTATCATTGTCATTATCATAGTAATCACCATATTCCTTTTTATAGTATTTTTTATTGTCTGTGTCATATTTTTTGTCATAATCTTTGTTATAGGCCTTGTCATAGACCTCATGGTAGTCATCATCACCATAGTTATCACAATAGGTACCTTCTTTATTATAAGCGTTTTTCTGTTTACGTTGATTGTAGTTGGGTTTTCCAATTTGTTCTACATTTTTAGAGTCATAGTGTGGAGTAAAATCTTGCGACTCACATGTATTACGTGAAGAATTCTCAAGTTCGTGCGTAGTGAAGTGAACAGTATGCTCTAAGTTAGTGTGTGAGTTTCTATGACTTTTATCATCGATTATTGCTTTATATTCTGAGGTAATATCATCATCATTCAATAATAAATTGAACTGTTCTTTAAATTTATCATCTTTCATACACGATTTCAAGCGGCTTGTAAATTCTTGATCATCTTCATCAACTAAACCCATTAATTTTCCCTTTAAACGTTCATAATCATCACAGTTCTGCGTTTGTTCATATCCTCTCAGTAATCTGCTAGTTCTTGCGTTTAACACATTTTTCCATTTTACCTTCTTGTGCGATTTTCCATAGATATCCTAAAAATAAGAGACATTTTTTTTCGCACCCATATAAACCTCTCCGGTACACATATATATTCTTACACAGTAGTCCCAAAATTCCCCTCTTTTCAGAAGGAAAATAGTACTAGAAGAATAAGTTTAAGGACGGCTCAATTAAACTGAAGTGAACTCTCATATTACCTCATTCGAGTAATCGTTCCCAAACAACATCAGGATACCGAAAAAAGATAACTTCCCCAAAGAAATTCTACCGTTCGACTGTTGCCTCATCCTCGACATCATTGCAGTTTACCAGTGTGCTGTAATGGTAGAATTTGGAAGCTACGCTATTCTTAATACTATTAGAAAAATATTAAATAGTGTAAGTATTTCTCGTAGCAAAAATATTGTTCGAATAAAGCATACATTCCCTAATAGTATATACACCTAATAGTATATACTTGCAGTATTATATACTTCTAATAATATGTACTTCCACATTATGCGTACTCTTTGGTATTATGTTTTTCTGATAATAAATCTTTTCTACTGAATACCCAAATTTTTAGGTGTACCTTTTCCTACTTACAAACACTCCTGTGTACAAACATTTTTATGTACAAACATGGCTATATATAAACATTCAGAAGGTACAAACACTGTTTCACACAAATACCATTCTTATTCACAAACTCTCTGTGCGTAAAAAATTTGTAAAACTTACACTGTTGTAAAGAACGAAGAATGAATACATTATAGAAAGGAAAAAGGGAAAAGTGTTCGTTCCTATTATTTAATTAAAAAATGGTATACTAAGCATTAGGCGTGAATAAATATAGTTGTTACATAATTTTGGTAGTATGCACGAGGGGTTAAAGAAAAAGAAGGAATACGACTTTATTTTTAATAATATAAGGCAAACCCAGAGACTTGTGGAATTCTCGGGTATGTGGAAATAATTACACAAAAAAAAGAAAAAAAAAAGGAAGCTAATATGATCCTATTTCTGAAAAAAGAGAAATTAACAAAGAACAGCATTTTTTTCTACTCCGGGCATTATATTCAATTAGTATATTTTAATTGAAACTTGCTCCAGTAGTGCAAAAAAAGAACATTGAAACCATAATTTCTTCATCCTATTATATATGGGATATATTATATTAGAACTAATAGAATATGTGAACTTAAGCTAAGGAGCAAAATATTAATATATGGATAGGCACCTATAAAAAGAATTTTCAAAATTCTTATAAGAAAAACACGTACTAAATAAAGGACGATTAAATAAAATTGATCCGTTACACATTTACAACTAATACGTACAGGACAAAAAGTAAAAAATATATGTTCACATGCACGGGCACATATATTCACGCTTTTTACATCTAGAGCCGCCCCCCTCATATGGGCCCCCAAAAAAAAATCTTTCATGGAAAAGAACACACAATAAATTTAGGAGCATGGTGAGCAATATGATTGCGTAACCGCGCGGAACATATATATGTGCCTTTATATTACGTTAGCCCCTTTAAATAATTACTCTGGCATCACAAAATTTTCTGCATTTAATGTGTCCTAACATTTATACGATCCTATTCCTGCAATTATGAATTCTCACTGTGCGTGCGAACACAGTTCCGTGCCACCTGTGATATGTGTGTGCAACCATGTATGCTTCCGCAGCATCATTGTGAGCATTGGTATTGCGGTACCTATAAAATTCCCCTGCAGCGCGCAATATCAAGTTATTTACTCTGCACACTGTCCAAAAATTTTGGTGTTAGAAATTTATTTAGTACTATTATGGTTGTACCGTTCCCCTTTTCCTTTCTGTTCTTAATATGCAGTTATAATCCTTCACGCCCACCCTGTGTTCTTTAGTCCTTGCGATAACTAGGAACATGCACACAGAGTAAAATATGGCATCCCATACCAGGTTACATGCTTCCAGGGTTTCATTACACAAAGATTATATTTATTGTTATAGGATTAAGGGGCACTACCAATTATATGGGATGAGTATACATATATAAAGAAATATATATAATTACGTATACACGGCATGATGGACATCCTATAGCCTAGAATGAATGATCACCAAAGAGAATATCACGCATGTAGAGCATCTGGCACAACTGCCGGTAGCTGTGACGACTATGATATATATAAAGAATAGACAACTCTATTTCAGGTTACGTGCTAATATAACCCCTGCTTTCTCTTTAAAAGGTGTACAAATAGCGTCTTACTCTTTACATGCGGAAGTGTGTTGTTGTCCTTTTTTCTTAGAACAGAATTTTTCCCTTTGTTCGTATATTGGGGTAGCCCCGGGGGGGGGGAGAAAGGCAATTCCACCAAATTTTGGTAGTGTGCGCAGTTTTCCTTGCGTTCTATAAAGTGTACCCTCGGAGGCTTACTGTCGTGTGAGAAATTCATAACCATTTCGTCACTTTTAATATTTCAAAAGATAATTTGCATTGTTCAACCTTACGGCAGCTACCGTAATGATATGATACGCTAACAATATGGGCTGGAAATTTCCCTAAAGGTGTCGTGGTCACCAGCATTGTTACTCCCAATGATGTTACCATGAATTATATGCATACAGGAAGGCACTCTTTTACTCCTTAGAAAGAACAGCAGTGCACATTACACAATTTGTGCAATGAGCGAATAAATGAAATGTGTTCTAATGGGTTGACTCCAAGGACGTGTGCACAACGGGGTGTATATTTTTCCTTCTCTTTTTTGTAATTTAGTGCGGTTCGTATGCTAACGGAAGAAGACTTACTAATCGGAGACAACTGTATTATAACGGGGTTAAGCAACTGAATAATCCTTTGTCACAGATAACAATAAGAAGTTCCTTTTTTTTTTTTCTTTTCTTAATTGTTCTCTTATGTGCTCAGGGTTTAGTTTTTTAACATGCAACAACGCTGCAGAGGCAATTTTTAAAATTAATAGGTTGGAGTGATGTATGGAAAACGGGGTGACCACATATGTGTTTGCTTCTGAAAAATTGGAGAATGAACACAAAGCTTCCTAACCGCGGATAACTACGTAAATTCAGGGAGGGCAAAATGGAGCAATATCTTAGGGGAGGAAGACCGTCAGGAGGTGATAGAGCGCTCTGCATTCGCATCCTAGAATGCACCTATGTATGCTGTATAAACCAGGAGAAGTAGCAAATAGTGGGAATAAGGGGCGCATGGAGCAGTTTGTCGTCATATTCAGTCCTCATTAAACTTCCAAAGTAAAATATTCCGCAGTTGTGCAGAAATAAGTTACGCGATGATAATAAAGGAAAGTACTAGAAAGGGGGGAAAACAAAAAAAAAACAAAAGCATACGGAAATTTACAGAATAAGTGAATTTGAAAAGAACAAAGAGGAACAAATGGAAAGGAATGTAAACGTAGTAACACATCATATATGTCACTTAATGAACGAATGGGAAGTATTGTTTACATGAGTTATTTCCATTTATTTTCCCATATTCTTTTCTGTCTTTTCAAGTAACACGCAGATATTATTAATCCATATAAAGGAATATTCGCTAAATAAGCTAACCTTATAAAACGATGCAGACACGTTGTTGGCACACGCACACCTGTGTGAGAAAATGATACTGCTTCACTGCTAATATATCGTTCTGAACACAGTTATAATATGTGTAGGATTAGCAAATAAAAGAATGGAAAAACAAAAAAAAAAAGAATTCCATTTGAATTAAAAACACGGATAAAAGACGTATGCCTTGGGATTAGGTTATAAAGAAAGAGCGGAGAAAAATTGCACTCGGTATTATGCATATTTATAATAATACACAATTTCATTTTTTTTCTTTTTTCAATATATAATGAACACATAAATAGATAGAGAATTATACAATTACTGATTGCGCCTATACTTTTCGAGGTTCACCGGATTTTATAAATCATACTACGCGGAGGTAGCGAATCATCAACCCCCCCTTTTATGTTATTAGTAAAAGTGTCAATGCACCTCGACCAATTTTTTTTTAAATTCTTCTTTCGCGAACATAGTTTTTATTATAGTTGCGAGAAAAAAAGTGAATGTTTTGAGTATATATGATATGATGATAATAGTTTGATATTTTTCCTTGATAAATTTAACTGAATATTTTTTGTGAACTGATTATTGGAAAGCTTCTCCTTTTCATTTCATATTTCTTACATTTTAAAAACTTGAAGCTGATTCATGTGCACGTAATGTATATACATATGTATATTACTCATATGCATATTCTTGTTACGTAATTAAAACATTTTCTAAGTGTGCAAGTATGAATATAATATTATAAACCCTGAAAAGAAAAAAATTATAAAAAAAAAAAAATAAAATAAAAGGTATAGCAGAAAAGTGCATATATTAATGTTATTAATATTAAATAGTATAAACCTTTTTTTCCGGAATTTAAAGAGCAGCAAAATAAAAAATACACTTCCATAAAAATCAAATTACGCGATGTATTTTTAGTTATGATGATTACTTGGTATATTATTTTTACTATTATAACAGTAAAAATTATTTATTTTAATTTAATGATATATTTTTGAATACAATAAAATTGTAATTGATCTGTATTTATAATTTACATGTTATGTGCAAAGAGAAATTTTTTTTTAAACTTGCGATTACTTAACGCAAAGAACGCATATATCATATATTATATATATATACATACATACAATGAAACGTTTATCTGTTTTTTCTTTTTTTTACGTTTACAATATTATGTATGTATATATTATGCATTTAATTCAACTATTTGTTTTGTGTTACTGTAACATTCTGCCATACACGTAATTCTGTGGTAACTTTTACTCCTTTATTTATAAATTGTTACACCATATGCCATAATACAGGTATGCGGTTGTGTTGAATGTATTATTATGGTAGCATTCTCGAGTACTATTATTTAACATTACCATTTTGAACATTTGAATATTTAAACATTTAGACACTTAAGCTTTTAAATATTTAAATATTTCGCTAAAATAATAGAACTCTCTTTTTTTTATACACTTTTCCTTTCCTTGCTTTTGAAGTATCGAAAAGATTATTTCAGATCGAGCAGCCGTACTACTTGTTTTAAAAAAGAATCTGCCAAAAGGAAAAAAATAAAAACTACCGAATTATTGACCCTTTGGAGAAGTAGCTATCAAATTATTGTACACATATATATGTACGTACATAAGCAAAGTATACTTAAGTTCATTCCAGTAGAATACTGTCATTTACAGTAAATTAGAATTACTCCAAATTTTATTAATTACATCTGACATAATTTGGTTCGACCTCATATTTAATGCTTCTATGTGTTGACTCCTTTGCAACCAAAAGCATCTTATTCGAATCAACTTGTACACATAATGCTGGAATTTGCAACGATTTTAATAGAATGTAATATAAGTTATGGAGAATCGAAATCAGACCGCTCACTATTAATATATTCTAATAAGGAGTAAAGTTTGAATTCCCGTTCCTCCCTTTCTTTTCTTCTGTGGGTCCACGTGCTTACATTGGACAATCACATAATACAGCTGAAGACATAAATATGTTAAATATTGTTATAGGATACATCTTATTATTTATTACTTCAATCTGGACAATAGACGGTTTAAACGTTGCTGACGTAAGGGATTTTATTACATAAATTTAATGCACTCCGTAACCGCATATTTCTCTTACCTTCTATATTATTTTGCATTCTTCGTCATGAGAAGTGTAGCACGCGAAATGAGCAATTAGGGGGAATAAAAAAAAAATATATATATATATATCTTCTTGCTTTCCTGTATATTTTATTATATGCCCCCTTTTTTTATTCTTCGTTTATAGTGTACTCAGGATTGCGTTTGGGAAAAGAAATTTGAAGTACAGGATGAGTCGAATGCAGGTACGAACACATCACTGACAGAAAATGATGGGACGTATGATGAAGGAAATGATTGGTCATATTCAAATTCTTCTTCCAAAACCAAAAAAAGCAAGAAATGTGCAAAGAGGCAGAATGGAAAAAAGTTCTTGAATTCACGTGTTGATGGTACGCCCTATTCTCCAGCCTCTAATAAATATAATTATTTCATTTATCCGGGCCGTAGTTATCATTCGTGTCAAAATATTGATAATAATTCAAGGTACTCCGATGCGCATATTGCGTCTCGTGAGAAGCCTAAGCGCCAAAATGCAGGAAATCCCAATAGACGAAAATTAGGAAGCGCTAATAGTAGAAATTCTAAAAGCGCCAATGGACGGAAAATTGAGAATCCATATCGTCAACATGTTAGGGAACCACCCATTGAACGCTTTGCGCAACTGCCTCTCCAATATTCTCTGGGACCATCTTACCCATATTTTAGAAGAACAGACCATCATTATTTTGGCAACCCACATGACATAAATTTAGGAAGGAAAAATCTTCCATATGTGGATTATGATGACGCCAAATCCTCTAGCACTTCGCATCGAAGTTATGAGGATATTCGACGTGTCCCTATTGAGGACGACGATGATGACAGTGAGAGCTCAAGCTCTGATGAAGATAACCTTTCAATTTATTCAATGAATGATTCCCTATGTAGCCACCCTAGAAATCCCTACAAAAATAAAGGACACAGTGGACACCACGGACCATATGGAAGAGATGATCATTCAGTGTACTCTGATACGTACAATCCTCATTCTTTAAAAGGCACTAAATATGTAAGTTCCGAACATGGTAGTCATAATGCACTTGAAGATAATGATGTCAAGAAAGAAACTGAATTACCATTACCAGACGAGCACTACAGACTTCCTTTTAAAAAAGGGCACCATCCTTATAAAGATAGTGAATGTGTTGTAAGTGAACAAGACAACAATAATGACGAAAGTTATGACTTCACAATAATGCCCCATTTTAAGAAATGTTGTTGTGTTAATAAACGTATAAAACATTATATAAAAAAGTATAATGGAAAGCTTGCAAAACAATTACCTTTCCTTGGTACCGCTTCTTTCATTGGGAGTATCGTATTTTCGTTCTTGGTGGAAAATATAGCATTACCCGTTATATTTAGTATTTTATCCTTTATATTCACGTCCTACTATATCAAAAGATTAAAAATGAAAAGGAAAAAAAAGAAACGATTAAGAAGTGAATATTATATGAAGCGATAAAGCACTGTTTTTTTTGTTTTTTGTTTTCTCATTAAAATCTTATATATTCTACTTTTTCTGTTTTTTTTTTTTTTTTTTTCTTTCCTCTATTTTTACTTCATTTTCTTATTTTTTTTATGTGTTTTTAAGGTGTAGAAAGTAAATAATTTATGTGCCCTCTTTGTGGGTGTATATATATTATTCTACACAAACAATGGGTGTTTGCTATTCCCCTTTTTAGTGGGTCCTAAGTTGAATGTTCTAATATTAAATACATTCCTTTAAAATTTGTTACATAAAACATTTTAATAATAGAAAAAAAAAAAAAAAAAAAGAAAAAGAACATAATATGAATTGCAAGTGTGTTCTATGAATGCTATTGATGTATATTGTTTCTAAGAATTCTTTACAAGAATATAATAACATTTCTGACATGACACATTTGCATATTTTTCCCATTCTTTATTCTTTATTCTTTATTCTTTATTCTTTATTCTGTATTCTTTATTCTGTTTTTTTTTTTTTTTTTTTTTTTTTTAATTAATATTTTATGATTGTTCTAGGATATATAACATTTGTCTAAGAAGCTTCATATATAGTTTACTTGTAAAAATGAGTACATATTAATTAGTTCTAATTCATATTAAATAAGAATTTATTTAATTATGTCTACTTTTTGAACTAATGTACACAAGGCGAAACTTTTTAAGACAATTTTCACCTACTATAATGCTACATGCATATAGGCCATGTATTAATGAAGGGTTTTGCATAAGCGGGTCTATATGTAATATGTTGTATCCATAACATACTTGCAACTCAATGCTAACTCGAGCGGGTCCTAGAAAAATTTCAAATAAATGTACATTTATTTGAGGAGAAATGTAATCGTCAAGAATACCGTAGCGTTCATTCAAGGGCGAACTACTGTTTTTGCTCTGTTTTTTTTTTTTATTGAATACCATATTCCACACTTTATACATTGAAAAGAGGAAGCTACATTTAAAGGAACCATTTAGTTCTAAGGATGTTTACTCAAAGTGTGTCTACACTGCATCATAATTAACATGACGCGAACTTGGAAGAGCGCATATTGCGCAGAAATTGCATTTAGTGGGAATATATTTCATCAATATTCTACCTAAGCAGAATTTACAATTCGCGTGATATATACAGCATACTAGGGTACTGAGCATTTATAGGAAGTTATCATGTTAACTTGGTAAAGGAATGTAAATCTAATATGCCACAATGGATATGTCATTAAGGATACAGTTACTACGCACTGAAGAGTGTGTATTTTGGCATTACCATGTGGATTGCACTAATTTTTTTTTTATGGCGCTTATGTGCATATATGTATATAGATCCATACACATATATACTTTCGAGAGAAGCCACTTGGCCCATTGAATTAAGGACAATAGTAACAATTAGAGCTCTATTTTTTTTTTTTTTTTTTTCATGAGCATATGATAGCTACTACAGGTTTATTCCTTTAATCAGTAATTTGTCCACAGAGCTTGGATATACTTTAGACGATGACGGAGAAGTCTTTTTGTCCACATGTGTAATTGTGGTAAATGGAAAAGTCATGGTGGGATTGAGTGTTACCTCAACCAGCCGAAAAGACATTATCCACTTCGGAGACCGGAACTGGTAAGAGAAAATATTGGATTAATTTCAACATACTTACTATGTGAACAGATGTATAAATTAGGATGAACACGGCATATTCCCAAAGCATGAAAAGGAATAGACCGTGCAAAATGGAAAAAAAAAAAAAAAAAAAAGGGTACAGATTTTCCACGTTTCCAGTAGCCTACCATTCCATAATGTATTTCATATTTTCAGTGAGCCTAAGGTAGAATGCACATTTTTCCTTGTGTTAATATAATAGCATAAACGATTACAGCTATGATTACATAGTGTCCATCGCGAATGAATTGTTTCTCTTAAGAAATTTTCCTTTAATGTTTGATTTTATATTAATTCTTTCAATTGTTAGATTCAATTTTTCTTCATAAGTTAATCACGGAATTATTTGCTATTCCGGAAAATATAAGAATGCTCCAATTTCGCTAATTATAAATTTTCATTTAGAAATACTTTTTTTTTTTTTTATATTTTATATTTTATATGAAAAGCATTTTGTAAAAATTACATCCATTGGTAATTTTTATATGTAAGTATTTGCACCTTATAATTCTATATAGTAATATTATTATATATAACAGAATGAACGCACCTCAATTATCGTCGCACTTTGCTCAAAGGTAATACAAAAAAAATTTTTTTGAGAAAAATGTTCTTTTCTTTAATCTTTTTATTAAAATTAAAGGAGAATATTTTAGTGGAAATGATCTATTTATGGTGTTACATTTATCCACTCTAATTTTTTTTTTTTTTTTAAGACCTTAATAAGAGAATAATACACGTTCATATACTTGCATTTCAATACATTACAGTATGAAACGCGTAACAGTTGAAGGAAAATTAATCATTGTTATTTTTTTTTTATTATAATTACTGTTTGGTGACATATGATTAAACTTTATAGGTACAGGGTTTGTTTTGCGCATGGTTCATTTATACCGTTTATATTACTATTTTTTGTATCTTTTTCGTGAAGCATTATGTATACATATCGCAACAGTATCATATATGACTGAAACACGTCACCTTTAGTGTGCTTAAAGTAATCGTGTCGTTTTTGAATTACCTAGAAAATAGTGTATTTGTGCCCCCAAATATGCTTATATTCGCAAACGATATATGTGGAAACCACTATCGCTTTGCGCATTTGTTCATTGTATTTTTAAACCGTACATACAATAATAATTTTAGGTTAAGATTTTCTTTTGAGCAGAATTTTCTCGAATTATATATGTAAGAAGTACTTTTTTTTTTTTTTTGGTAGTTATTATTCCTTTTAACATATTTGTCATTTTTATAAAATTGTATAGTCGTTTTTGACATGTGCTTTCAATTTTAGACGAAAATAGAAAATGATCAAGAATAATACTGACTGTATCAATTTATCGCCCTCTATGAGCACCATACGAATGCACTTAGGAAAATTACCGCTGCAATTATGAATGTCTTAAGGAGGCCTTGCACAAGAGGAAAACTTGCTTTTCTGTGGTTTAAGAATGTTATGGTACTAGCGCTCTGTTTGTGGACATGGCAATATTACGGGAAGGTAATTTATACATTGAAATCTTATTATATTGTGTTTTTGTCTTCTTTTTTCTTTTATTGCTTTTGTAGCATGTGATCTTAATGTGTATATGAATGTCTATCTATATCTTAGTGTAGAAGTAGATATCTTAATAAAGTATTTTCCTTTTCCTTTCTATTTCCTGTCTTTTCAGTCTATACATTATAAGAACTGGGGTAGGGGAACAAGTACAGTGAGCGCAACAGAACCGAGCAATAGAAGAATATTAAAATCATTTGACTATATCTATGGCGCAGCAGTTGTTGGATTAAATGAATCTACAAGAAATAAAGTTGGCAACTTCGACTTAGGGCATAGATCAATGACTGGTGATAATTCCAAGTTGACTAGTAGGAAAGTGGAATATAGAAAAGGTGAAATACAAGAAAAAGTAGAATGTTCCAAGGAATTCAATGTAATAAGTGAAGATGATGATCTTAACAGAGCGGAGATAGAACAAACTATTGCAATGAGCGAGAAGCCCAAATGGGCGTTTAATCCCAATAGCTGTAAAAGATCTAATTCGGGGCACAGTTGTAGCAAGAATACTATTGCACCTAACACAAATGTTACCGCGAGAAGGAGAATCTTAGCTGCTTGTGCGGTAGACACTGAACCACATATTCGAGGGCGAAGTAAACATATACAACCTTATAATAATAGGTACAATCCGGAGCATGTTGGAACAGGTAATAATAGGGCTTCGTATCCAAATGATAGTCGGCCAAATTTTGTAACACCGGGAAATATTCATGGTCACAGAGAGCCGTATGGGAATCAATATAATGGCGAGACGACAAATTTAACAGATTCTAAGGACACATATGGATCACAATTCGAAGGAGTGAAAAAATTTTTTACAGATTATACAAACTTAGGGGAGCTTCCCTTATTTGGAATGGAAAAAATTATATCGGATTGCAAAGATTTGGGGGAGGTTTCCTTGATTGGAATGAAAAAAATTATATCAGATTGTATGAAATTCTGTGGATCCCAGGATACGGATCCGAAGCAGCTGTCGTCAGATTATAAAGAAAATCACGATTCTCAATTTGCTGAGGGCAGAAGAGTGCACCCTCAGTATAGCGGCCACTACGGGAATCAGCACGGAAGAAGAGTAGGAAGGGTGGAAAGAGATGAACGACATTATAGTGATAATTACCAATATGCGAATATTGAGGATGGATGGGAGCAGCCAAAATCCAATGACTATTATGCAGAACATTATAGGGACTTAGTTGGCAATGTACCGCCTTATAATAAACAGTACGATTCACAGTATGGTGATGGAAGTATAAACGAATCTTATTATGATAACTATTACGGCGAACATCGTGATGCAGGAGAAAGTGCACCCATGAATAATGAGAAGTATTATTCTCAATATGATGGAGAAAGTACAAACCAATGTGATTACGATGACTATTACAGTGAGCATCAATACTCAGGGGGGAATGTACCCCAATATAATGGTAGCTACGAATCGCATTATAGAGATGGGGACACCAGCTGTCCCAGTAGTAATGAATATTACAAAGGATCGTGTACTGATGAAAAGGGAAATACAGCACATTATAACGACATTGCTGGATCGCACAGTACAGAGCCGGAAGATAGAGCACCTAGGTATACTCAGAATTATGGCCCTCAAAGGGAGGAGCAAGAGAATTATACGTACGGAGGGGGGTATAATTATAGTTCTCAGCAGACGAACCCACCGAGTAACGCTTCTTACAAGATAAAGAACTTGGAACCTGAGACACAGCTACCAAAAGATGAAGTGGTAAGTGTTGAAAATCCCTCTAAGAAGGAAACACCCGATTTAAGTGAAGAAAAGGTGCCATGGAATAATAAGGATTTACAGCCAGAATCGTTGCTAGAAGAAAATAAATTAGATGACAAAAACAGTAGCACTTCACCAACGGTATCACCGAATATGCCAACGTTACATCATAGGGGCAACTCCGAGTCATTAATTGCTAATGAAAAAAAACCAATGCCACACAGGACAACAACAATCCGTTCGGGGCATACTGCAACAGGGCAAGATATGTCTGGCAGTAAGGCGGTTCACGAAGTAGAAACTCAAGAATCGGATAGTGCTGGTATAAAGGATTCGTACAATTCTAGCTTAAAGAAAAATACATCTGAGACCAAAGTGAATGTTAAAACAGAAAAGGATAAGACAGAAGAGTCAGTAATGGGAAATGGAAGTATAAAAGATATATATAATTCTAGCTTAAAGAAAAATACATCTG